CTTATCGTATGACATAGCTGATGAAAATTATGATCGATCTTGGTTATAACGAATTAGATTTTAAAAATATTGTATACCGAGATATTGAATAGCATAATCGTTTTAATCTATTTAATCTATTATGGATCAAGGATCGATTTATAAATTTTGTCTATTTTTACGATAAAATAATGAAAAAAAAAAATTAGAATATATAAATCGCACAATCTATCATCTATCAAATATCCTTTGAATTTTTCATATTTTCGAGGGATCTATAATCTAAAATCTAAAATTATCGATTGAAAAATGAATAAAATCTCATTATTAATAATTATATCAATAATATAATATATTTTTTCATAAAAAAATTCTAAATCTAATAATCAAAATTTTAATATATCGATTTACTTAGAATCATCGTAATATTAAAATCGAGTATTTTTATATTACAATATTTTTAACAAAACTCACTATAGAAAGAATTAGTGTGTGCGTCATCCAGCTTTTCCGTCCGCAACGTGTCCTTGCTCGTCTCGATCGTGTGATTCCTCTGGTTCTCGATCAGCTCGATCAACGTGAAATTGTTCGCGGATATGGTTTTATTTCGTGACAATACCAGAAGAATCTCTTCCTCTTCCAGAGTTTTCAAATTGTTAGATGTCAACACGTCCACCGATTTTCCGGCATACGACAGTTTCACTAGAAAAACTATCGTCCATATTCTCACGAATATTCCCATATTTATATTAGGGGAAAAAAAAAAAAAAAAATACGACGTGATCGTATGAATCGAATGATTCGAATCGAGAAAAAATTTTTTCGTTGTCCAATTTTATTTATTGATAAAAAAATCACAGTAACTCGATAATATCTTCTAGATTCGACATTGATACTTTGAAGTTTATGCTAAAGTCTATTGAAACGAGATTGAAATTCTTCACAGATGAACTTCACAGATTGTCTCTTGGATGTGGACGATCGACACGTAGATTCGTTTCGCTTTGAGATAAAGAAATTAGAAAAAAAAAAAAAAAAAAGACAACAATAGGGAAAAGAGAATTTGCAAAAGTGCGCCACCGAATGTTTCACGGACTCTGTATTGCTTGATCGTTCGAAGGCGAGCTTTATGAGTGATCGTGAAACGACGAACTCACCTGCGATCAGGAATGGGGCGAAAGAAGAGGGGTGAATACTGAATTCCTCTTTCTCCCACTCTGAACCATCTTCAAAAGATCTTCCTTTAATTCTCGATTGTCAAATTGATTGAAATAAATGATAGGTTCGTTATTTTTCGTGGTGCATGAAAACAACACGTTAATTATATATGCCTTTTTATTCATTTTCTATCTTTACTTTCTTAATGAAAAAAAAAATTTGAGAGAAAAAATAGAGATAGTATATTTTATTTCGCTTTGTTGGCAAACCTTTTAGTTATCGTATTGCGTTTGAAAGTATGTAAATTTTTAAGAAGTAAAATGATTTAACGTTAGGAGGATATTATGAAAGTGCTTGGAATGGAAATAAAACGTCTAACTGCGAAATATGGTTTAATTTTGTTTTTCTTCTTTATACATAAAATTATCCAATATAAATAAATAATAAATTTTTAATTATTTAATAAATATGTATAATACTTTAATAAAGAAGAACAATATTAATAATATTATGCGTCATATTTTCATATTCCGATATAAATATTTTTGATACCAAAATACCATTGGTATTTTTTTTTTTCAATTTTTATTCTTGCAATTAAAATATATATTCATTATGTATTTTATAACGCGATTATATTTTATCATAGTATATTGTTTCAAAATCAAATATGAACTTTGACTATTTTTTGTTCTTTATTTATCACTTTTTATCACTTTTATCACATCATATAATTTTATGATAATTTAATAATATAACATAAAAACAATTTATGTATTAAGAAATGATATAATAAATTAATCTTTTTACGACAAAGATATTTCAATTTTATGATGTCGTAGTTGCGATGTAATGAATAAGATATCTTCATAACATGTTGTCACGCATATAACGATACAAAGGATAAAGGATAAAGTAGATAGAAAATTTAAGGATGATTGAAACAAACACAAAAGCAAAAATATCCATTGAAGTTAATCGATTTTTTTTAATTGACTTTTTTTTATTATTATTATTATTCGCATCGTTACAGTTTCTCTAAAAAAAATTACTGTTAATCATTTGTGAAGAATACGTTATCTTTGTTACACACGTGTAAATTACGATGAGAGAGTGGGTCGGGGCCCCCTGCGTGTTGCATTCTTTAGTAATTGTTACGACATATTTAACGCGTGCTTTCCATAAATTACATTTTTGACTCAATTTCATTTTCCTCAACTTGAAATTTAATGAAAATTTTATTAGTAAAAAGAAAAATTGTATCGATACTTTTAGACAATTAATAATTTAATACAAAGTTAGTTATGTCAAAATATATTTTCATATTATATTGAAAATATAAAATATAATAAATACAATAAAGAGTACACACAATATATGTTTAATTCAGAGAAGACCAAGTAATTCATTCTTAAAGAAAACTATTGAAACGTCCTTAAACTTGAATTCATACAACGAATACAAATAAAAATTCAGACATTCTAGCTGCATTTTAATCGCTACTTCTGAACTCGTATACGTGTATTTCTTCACATGTGTATTTTCGTCAGATCTTGCGTTTACGTTTCTACTAGATAGATAAATATTTTTTATTTAATTTTTCGTAAAGTCAAAAAAAAATGCACAATATATATTGCAAATATAATTTATATGACAATTAGTTCCGCATTCATTAGCTTACAATGAATTATTCGAACAGAAGCATGGTGCATACGAAAGTACGGCATGCGAACTGACGAAAATCATCGAATCCACAATGCTCTTTATGTGTCAATGGATCAGTGAGTGCCAGCCAAAGAAAAGTGAGAATAATTCATTGTCGATTCATATAGCGCATATACTGTCCTTCTCTGCACTATAATGTTACGCATAGCACGTTAGTTATTTTAATTAAAGTTGGATAGAACATTGCGCGTGTAAATGCTACCGTACGAGTTATTGAACTTAATACAATTGATATCATTCTAACCATGTAAAATACAGTCGAAAATGAATCTGGTTATTGATACGTCTTGATAAATTAATTGAAATTAATTAATCTGAGATATATTGCAAAATTTATGAAACGTCATAATCACAATATAATAAAATATTGTAATCAGAAGTTGAATGACGAAATTGTAAAATGGATTATTTTATAAAAATAAGTTTTTAGTATTATAATTTAATTTAAGTTATAAAAATAATTTAATTCTTTTTATTTAATTCTATCTTTTCAGGATTATAAATTATTATTTCGATATTAGTTAAAAATATTAGGTTATATCCTTATATATGAAAAATATATTAACAAACTTGATCAATAATATAAGAAATTAGAACGATCAGTTAAGAGCAATTGAGTAAATTGAAAGAATTTTGTAAATTAGAAGAGTAAAAAAAAATTGCGAAACATTTAAAATTGAAAAACTATCATCTCTCAACTATCAAGCATGTTTAGTTTCAAGAGTAATATTTTTTTTTTTTTCTTAATGAAATGATTTATTTTGTACTTCATTTTGTTTTCATCGTGAAGTGGTATAAAATTTTCAAGTATCTTCACGCACTTATTCAAAGAAGAAAAATTCTGACGAAAGCGTTGCTTACGTAATTATTCGTCGACGGCATGGCCACTTCTGTTCCGCATTGTCCAGTTCGAAATTTATACAGTTACACAAAGTACGTGACGATTATGAGTAATGTATACGAATCTTATAAAAGGCGGCATGAGAAAAGTTTGAGGAAAATTTCGATTCGTTACACGAATAATTTATTTAACGCACTTCTTTTCTTTTTTCAAAGAATAAAATCATTTGATCGATTCTATAAGGAAATGTATTTATTAAAAAAAAGTATCAAAAAAATTTTTTTTACATTATTTTTTCACAATATAAATATGTTATTATAAAATTGAATCAAAAATAATTTTTTAATCTTTAGAATAACTTATATTCTTATGAAAAAATAAGAAATCTTTAAAGAAATCTTAATATAGCATGTAATTTTATAACGAAATATGAGAATATTTTTTAAAAACAAATCTAAAAATTTTATGATCTAAATTATATTATATCAATACGTATGTATGTAAGTATTAAAATCGTTGACCTCGATTGCAAAAATGATTTCCTTTTGTCAAATAGAAATCTATGTATACAAAGATTGCATTAGAATCGTGTAATAAGATGCATATTGAATGTTTGATTAAATATGATATTTATAATAGCTGTAATAGATTGTTTTGTAATGTTATGAATTACGTTTAATTTATTTAATATTTTAAGTGGTTAATAATTAATATTTAATAATAAAAACATTTTGTTATTTCAATTTTTCGATTATATTTATTATATGTAATCTCAGAAAATTGAAGTCTTACTTCAACAATTATATATTTTTATGTATTTGTTTTATTTTATTTTACTTATATCAAAATTTTATATGAATTTTTGCATTTTTCTATTATTTTGAATATTTTTTTTGCTTATAATATTCTTAAATAAAGGCAAATTACAAATTATTGTATTTCCAATTTATTGCAAATAACAAACTTTTCAAAAATTATGCTTATTATTGATTCTGATAGATGGCACTATGTTCCAACATAAGTTCCAATATATTATTTATTTGTCCGACTGAGCAAGATGTAATTTTAAAATAACATATATTTATACATTTTTTCACAAAAAGGAAAATATAAAATTATATAATCATACAATTTGTTTAAAGAATATTAAATTTAATTTCAATTTTTATATTTATTCAATAAATATACATATCCATTTTTTAATAAAAAATATGATTTATGTTACAAAAAAAATATAATTGGAAAATAAAATAGAGAAATAAAATTTTCGATTACTCAGAAAATATTCTTACAATAAGTAATCACGGTTTCCAAAATTTAATTATTTATTCGGTAACTATCGGAAAGATTCGGCAATGATCGCATCAATGTCGAAGTTGCGACACACAGATACAAAGAAAATCGACATTGGTGGTCGTGAACACCCTGACCTATTCGGCAGACCGAAATCAGACAGCGACGCGACGGTTGAAAAATTATGATAGCATCTTCGTCGTGGTCATCGTTCTCTTTCTTTTTCACGTCACTACTACGCTACTGCGATTGGCCGGCAAATGGTGGACGAACTGTCGCGTTGCTCATTTCGATGACGCGTATATTGTGAGCGTAATTGTGTACATCGACTGAAAACCATTTGGCACGACATCTTGGCCATTGTCCTCTTACTCGTAATTTTTTTATCGTTTCGTGCGTTCATCATATATATTACTGTATTAAACGATTTCCTTGTGAAATGATTGTGTACTTTGATTCGCGCAGTATCGATTCGTAGACGGTTGGTTTACAACTGGCATGCATGCTGTATAGCACTCACAGCACCCACGCTGACAGTAAAGCTCTGACTGCAGACGCGTATGTTGTTATCCCAGTGTTTAGTGATAGATATCTAGCTACGTACACGGAAGAGGAACGCTATCAACATCTCGATGGTGAGTTTGTGAATTACTACGTCATCTGTCGCGTCATTTCTTATTGCTTATATACATTAATGTTCTCTTGAAACATTTTGATATTTGTAATTTATTATCATTGTTTTCGATAAAGTATTATTATGTTCTCCCCACTTCGGTCGATATTGTCTTTATCTTTATAATACTATTCTTTTCAGTTGCTGTCTACCATTGTATATATAGATATGTAGTTCTTTTATACTTTTGTACTGAAAGTTGTATTTACGTGACAAATTAAATTTATAGCTGATTAACTTCAGAGTAAATGTTTTTAAAATGTAATGATTTTATTGGTAACCAACGATATTACGAAATTAGTCGTAAGATTTAATATCCTGTGTCTACGATAGTCAAATTTCATGTCAAAGCACGTGGCACTGACGTAAGATATACATATTTTGTCGTAACTATGTATGTACGCAGTATACGTACAAATCGATCACTGACTTTTCAGGGTTATTACATGAATAAGACTGCAGATTCGAGGAGTAAATGTCATTAAAAAGTGATACATCAACAAATATTTTATTATTTTTTTTAGTAAATAATTGCAAATAGTTTTGAAATGATGTTTATTAAAAATTAAATAGATTAATTATCATAATAATCAAATATATTTTTTTATTATTTTTTTTAACTATTAATTATTATTATTTATAAATTTTATTTAAACAAAGTTTGAAAAATTATTTTATTTTATAAAAAATTTGATATCAATTCAATTTATTTTTTGAACAAATTATTTTTTTCTTAAAAAAAAATTAAAATTATCTCGTTAAAATTTTTATTATTTACTGAAGTTTCGTATTCTACAAAATAGATCTTTTTAAACACATGGCCACTGTTCCAATTTTTCGATAAAAATGTATATTATGACCAAATGTGAAGGACCACCTGACCTGCTAAAAATAGCAAACTCACTTGTATCTAATCATTAAATAAAATCTTTTTTTTTAAGGATTGACGAAATTCAATTAAAAAATATAAACAAACAATTTATTGTAAATTAAATTGAAATCAGAATAATTAAAGATAGAATTTTTTTTTCATATTTCTTTTTCATTGATGTTTACTATTAAATATTTTACTTATGTTAATTCAAAATAATAATATATGTAATGATATATGAAAAAATAATGATATACATATTACTATTTATTTCACATTCTTATTTTCTCCTTTAATTATTCATAAATATGTTATATATATAATTTTATATTCAAAGTTTATTTTAATCGCGTGATACGTTATTTGAACATATCACTCAATACACATATGAATTATGTAGTTGAATTTTAATTAAGTTCTACTAATTAAATGTTATTGCGAACAAACATTTTTTTTCAGTACAAGGTTTCTGCATGCTTTTATGATCTAGAATAGAATAATCACATGAAAAATTACAAAAAAAGTCACAAAATAATAAAAATCATATCATCTATTAGTGAGTAGATCAATAAAATGAAAGAAAGCTCATGTCATACAATCTATGGAAATAACACTGTTTATTTTTTCTTAAAATTGCAGAACAGAAACTATATAGGTAAAAATAATTTTACTTCTTTAAAAAATTTTTTATTTTTCTTTTTTTATTTTTTTAAATGCAAATTAGATGTATTTTATAATTCATTTTGTTAAATCGCTTTTATTAAATAATAAAATATTAAATTAAAATTTTAATACATCTAAACAAATTAAAAAATGATATATTTGATATTGAAATATCAACAAATATTAATGAAAAAGTTAAAAAATATTAATAAAAAAGTTAAAAAAACAAAAATAAAATTTTCTTGTAAAAAAATCAAAGAAAAAATAATGAATTATTATTTTATATTAAACTTAGATTTGTATTATAAATTAAGATTTTATTATATTATTATATTAATAATAGATTTGTATTATATTATCATATATTACTTTAAATGTTTAAATTCATTTATGAATTTTATTTTTTTTTATTCTATTAAATAAAAAATCGAATTACTTGACTCAAATTTAATTAATTCTTATTTAAAAATAAAAAAAAATGATTTAGAAGTTACAATAATTTAATAAAAAAAACTATTCTTTTAAATAATGAACCAAAAATTTATAATTTCATAAATATTCTTTATATATATCTTGTTTTCTTTCTTTTATTTCTATTTATTGTTAATATAATATATTTTAATCTTAAGTAAAGTATAGTACGAAAAAAATACTTAGGTGAAGCTGCGCAAAGTATCAGTGACAGGGAGAAATTACCTTGCCGTTTTCGGTTATTCGACATTCAAAGGATACAGAAGAAAACGTCTTGTGCATGAAAAAGGTACTTTTTGTTCAGAATGTTCGTGCTAAATTTCACTTAATTTTAACTTAACTATTTACGCTAATAGAGGCATTAATATTTTGACTAACCTCGGTTTTTTTTCGCTTATAATATGAATTTATTAATAAGATTGTTTAATTTATCTTTAATCAGAAGTAACTATTCTTTTATTTTTATTTATTCTTTTATAAAAAATGTGTTCCTTGAAATAAAAATACAATTAAAAATAAAAAGAATTAAAAAGTAATCGATAAAATATTCAACTTTCTATCTATTATTATGAGACGACCTACTTTTTGATATCATATCATACAATGTTGAAGAAAATTAAATATCAATATATCGATATTGCAATATTTGCTTTGAAATAGGAATTGGAGAAACTAATATTTTGAATATCAGATTCTTATCAGATTCTTATTTATTTTTTGATAAGTTTTTTATTGATATCTCTTTTTATAAAACATAAAGTATATTACTAACTAAAATTACTTTTTTGCTTTTTTTTCAATATAAACTTCAAATATAAATATATTTTAAAAATCATATAAAATGTATTAAATAGTTACATGTCGAAAATGTAATCACATGTATACTTTATTTCTTTAATCTTTTATATATATATATATAATATTTACTTATTTACATTATGTATGTATACAAATTAAGTATTAAAATAACTAATTTCTTGATATTTTAAAATTCTTTTATTATATTTACTCGTTAAACAATATATTTATTTAATGAAGACATATTAAAAAAAATTTTTTATCTATATTTATTTTGCAAACTTGTTGTAATAAAAAAAAATGAATGATACGTGAGATAAAATCACATCAGATATATCTGTGAGATAAAAATATTATTTTGTTTTTAAAATTATGTTTTTTATATATAATAAAGAAATTCAATTTATTTCAAAGACTAATCACATTCAAAAATAAATTTATCGCTTTTAAAATCGCATTTTGAAATCAATTGTTTTGATGTCTAAGTATTGAATGTTTCTTAATTAAGTATAAAGAGAAAACAAATTTTATTACGTATAGAATGAATCGAATGAAAACTATTTTTATACTATTTCTAATTGTTTTGTTATTCAAAAAAATGTTTCATATGAAAAAATATATTTTACCATAATATATATTTATAATAAATACAATATAATTTATAATAAATAATCGACTATTATTTCAAATTGAATCTATATTTTTTTAGATTTAGAAAAATATAGAGATTCTATTATTAATTCAAATTCATCTACGATAAATAAATAAATATTTCCTATACACCAATGTAATATAGAAAGATTAAATAAGGTAAATTTTGTTTCAACAAAATTTCAGTTTAAAGTTTCTATAAATAACAAGTTTTAACTCTACAAAGTTTTTATAAATTGATTTCCACTTCTTATTTAAATCAAATTATCTTTAGAGGGAGATATTTTATTTACTTTGACTAAAACTGTTTTCTTGCAACTGTATAATAACTGTATATAATCATCTTACTCAAATTCATAAATTAATTTTTTCTTTACTATTTGTTATTCACAAACTGAATTAACCTTCTCAACATAACCACTTAATTTGGAGGAAGTAGAAAAAAAAGGATAAAAAATTAAAATAAAAAATAATAAAATCTGAAAAGAAATAGTAAAGTAAAATAATTGGATATGTTCACAGCATTGAAAAAGATGCTAACGCCGGGACGATCGGGACCAATCAGTCCCGAGGAGATCGGCAATGGACCTGATACAAAAGATCCTGGTGCAACAGGAAATGGTTCAGGGACGTATGCGCGTGGTACGCGCGCCCCAACCACGTATGAGAGTGATGAAAGGGCAAAAGAATTCCTCTCGACCGGAAGAACTGGAAGGAGAAATGCTTTAACGGAAATCTTAAGTCACCATGCAGAAACAGGAATATTGGATTTGCCAGATCGTTTTGAAGAGCTCACCATGGAAACAGGTTAGCCATATGAGCAGTAAATTATCTTGATTGTTTCATTGATCCACGAATATGACAAGCAGGAAAATAAGAAATACAAGGTGCGTTTTTTTTCTTTGTTATTTATATGATTATAAAAGTAGAATTTTTATATTTTTCATAATCAAAGATCAATGAATTTCTGAGCAAAATTTAAGATTATTAAAATATATTAAATTTTAATATATTTATGATAAAAGCGTGGAATATAACTTGATAAATCCATATAAATATATTAATATTTGGACACAGAGATTGCGTATAAAGGTGAATAAAAGTGTTTAAAGATAACAGATATAAACTTCGAATATATTATGTAAATAAAATATATAATAATAACTCCATTGATTTATTAAATAACTCTTATTCTGCTATGTTTGATTTGATGATAATAAAAATAAAAAATTAATTTAATAAATTAATAAAAAAAAATATGGAATAAAATTTTGTATAGTTTATTCCTTAAAAAATCAATTTCAAAAATATATATATACTTATACATATGTATATATAGGTAACAATTCATTAATTGTGCTATAATATTTTATATACAATATCTACATGATTTTCTGGGAAGACATGAAAATCTTAATCAATTAGTCCTCACTTAAGAACAAATATATTAGCAAAAGTAAATATTGCATCCATAATTAGATATCTACGTAATTTCATATTGATTTTAAATTAAATTATATTTACACGACCAATTTGCAGGTCAAACGAATAACAGCAGTCAAGATTCAAATTCGCCAGGTACTTCAAAACAGCAAGGTTGACGCGGTTCTGGATTCATTTTTATAAATGTATTGGTCATAATGTAAACACACAATAAGGAAAGTGTCGCTTGAAGTTCTACAGGAAGTTACTGAAATATCATGAAGCTGTTTTTCTCTTGTGTCAAATCAAACTAGATCTCAAACTTTACGCACAGTTTATTTCGTCGTTATGTTGGTGCATACTCGGTGGGCTTGCTTGAAAGCCAATCACATAAGTATGCAAATACATGAATATTGACCATGTTATTGAAGTTGAAGCTTATTGTTTGTAACGATTACTAGTATGACGCAATATCAAGTTGTTTGATATTATTAAAAGAATAATGTCGAAGATTTAATAACCTTTACATTGTTAATAATTATTAGTACTCGATTAGTATTTCGAGTTCTATTAATACTCAAAATTCGTACAATATGAAATTATTTGGTGTCTCGCGAAATAAATTTTTCACATTGATGTGAAATCTATAATGATAGTCATAGTATGTTTGTACGTATGCATATCCATGGGTGTCTTGTAAATTGCGGATATGGTTAACAGGGATAATTACACGTATAATTATTCTATACATAATTCTTTACACATTGTGCGTATGCTGCGTTTAGGATTTAATAAAAATATACAATAAGTTTTTAAAAAGCAGGAAAAAGCACTTTTTTAAATAATAATACATATATCATTTATGTCGGTAATTTTTCTCAATCTTTTTTTGTCGTTACCAATGATTTATCAAATGCACTTTTTTAAATACATGCTTAATATATTCAATTTTATTGATTAAATCTTTTGCATCCACAAATGAAATATTTCTTTATATTGTTTATGAGGTATTATGTATGAGGTATTTCACGTTGTTTTTTTTTTTTTTATTTTAGAATGCAAAAAATCTCATTATGAATTCAGATGACTTTAAAATGATTTTAACTCTCCAATACAATTCTTTAAGTGATCTTGGCCATTATAATCTTTAAATGATTCTTCATGACCATGATTTTTAAATAACTTAACTCTAGTCATGATATTCAAGTGACCTTGACCCTCCATTATGATCTTCAAATAACTTTTAAATAATTTTGACTTAACAAAAAGATTAATGTTAAATAAAAACCATTAGATATTTTTAAGAACAAATTTTTATATATAAAATTTGTCTCTTGAACATATAAAAATTGAAAGAAAAATACGCACTATATCTCATCCGAGATGCCGAAATGATATTGTATCGCTACATTTGTGGATGTGAAAAGATTAAAGAATTTTATAAAGAATAAATCATATATATAAAATAATATGACAGTACTATGTGTAATGAGTTATATTGAGTTTTATAGTACGATATTTTAGCCAAAGATCAAAAATCTTGTCGATTTTTGATTACTATATTGTCTAACATTGGTCTAATATTGTCTTATTTAAAACTGATATTTTTATTCTTTGTTATTAATAAATTCCATATGTTTTATGTAATTGTTATATTTAAGAAGAAACATTGTTTTATTTAAGAAGAAACATTTGTTGAATTAAGTATTTATTATAGAAATTTTTATTGTAATTTTTTTCACATTAACAAAAAAATGTTACTAAATTATTAGAATTTTCGTAATCTTGCCAATTTTCAAAGTATGCTACATTAAATACCTAAGAATATATATTTATGTTCCTAATATTTAGTAATTTAATTACAGCAACGAAATATTTACATTTTAATTTTCTAAATGTGTTTTGAATACACAAAATATTTTAATAGTACAAATAGAATTGATTACTCTAAATTAAATGGTTTTTCTGTTAATGTGATTTATATTTATATTTAATATAAATACAATATATATTTTATTGTAATTGAATATAATTAATAATAAGTTGCAATACATATTATAATTGTTGTAAATAGTGATTATCATTAAAAAATATAAAATTCGTATTATGTTTTGCTAAAGTTAAACAATTAAAGCAATTATTCAAGTCAAAGAATTTTATAAAAAAGATTCTTTTTATTTATATTTTTAATAAATTAAATTAATATGTTTAGAAATATATTTTATAATATTTAAACCTATACAAAATGATAAATTATATAAATTAGTTTGAAAATAATTAGTTTGAATTTGTAATATTTTTTATCGTGATTCTAAATGGAATATTATAAAATTTTATTTATTACGTATGCATTTTTCTCTCAAATAATAAAGTTAATAATAAAGTTATATGGGAAAAAAAAATATACTTTTCGATTGTACGTAGTAAAATACTCAATTTGAACACTGTACTAACATAAATTGAACACGATGGAACATTTTATATAAATACATATAATTTATATATTTAACTATTCAATTTATTTTTCAAATATTGTTTTAAAAAAAGTGAAATCATAACAATATGAATAATTTTGAAATTGATTATAAAATAAAAGAGAAAGACATTTTCTTCAAAATAAATTTTAAGCTTATAAAATAACTAGTAATTTATTATGTATCATTCTTATGCATATTTTGTATATTTATTGCAATATTTTAAATTGATAAAGGCATGAATAATCATGATATTTTTGATGATATAATTTCTGTTTGTAATAATGTACAGTGCGCTAATTGTGTAATAATAATAACTTTTATCTATGTTGATATATGTTAAGAACTTGTACAAATAATACTAAGAACATTAGATCTTTTAACTATCGAATTGTAAATACATATAACAACAGAATGTTTTGCGTGTAACAATAAATGACTGACGAATGATCTCGTGTAAAGGAACCGTTTGTTAGCGTGTTATTCTATTTTTGTTTGTAAGATTTTAACGTTCCAAGTATTTAATAATATTGTTTCACGTATGTATTAGACTTTTGCTACAATTTAAATACGAGTAAATTTTATTGTTACTATAATTAAGAGGATAAATACAAGTAAACAGCATTGAGCTCCTAACAGTATTTATATAAATGGTAATTAACTTAATGAAAAAAATATAATGTATAAAGATTAGCAAAATAATTTCGATTCAATACTTGTAATGTTTTACTTGTAATTTTGATCGTACTATTGAAAGAGAAAATAGAATTTCTATAATTTATACATGATTTTCGTTACGAAAATAGAATATAAATGTAAAATATAAATATAAATATATATATATATATATATATATATTTATACAAAATGCTCGTCATTCGCTTTATATAATATAATTTTAATCTTTTAGGATCCCAAGTTTCGAACAACGGTCTACGGATTTTTCTAAAATCCAGAAATTGTGTCAAAAATATTTAAAATGAAAAACTTTATTAAATACTTTTCAATATTAAAATAATTTACATAATATCTAAGCCGTAATATTTCTTAATGTGGAGTATATATTTAATATAAGAAGATAATTTTTAAAAGACAATATGAATTGTTTCACTTGGGGATCTAAGGATTAATGAATTTATAATGGGTGCTACTATTTATTTATATAATAATTTGTAAGTTCTCTTCATATTAGTATCGATGATACGTGCAATTCAAAATGTATCTTAGCGACAAAACTACGAACAACTAGATAACATTCTATGATACGCGATGAAACTATTGTTAATAAATAATGAATGTCGATCGATGAAAAATCTTGTCGAATAGCATGTACAGCAACGGCCTTCACGATTTAAGTCCATTATTCGAGACTATTGTGTTTAACGAATAAACACGATTGTAACGATGTACGCCACTCGTGTATGGGAACAGAATCATAAATATAATTCATATTATATGTGAATTGGTCATCGTGTTTTCTTTATTCCTTCTCTCTCTCTCTCTCT